TTTTGCCCAAGGGACCTCGCGAGGTCCCTCGCAAGGTCCCTTGGGCAAAAGGAAGAAATGGCTGGTGATTCCTCGAAGCCCAAGGAATTTCCTTTGGAGTGTTTTCACTTTTTTCTTTCCGACTGCATGATAGGTGGAACGAACAATTCCTCGGGGACGTTACGCACCCGAGGAGTGTCGAACGAACCCCAACGTCACACCAGCTCACTGGGGAGATTTGTGGAAAGAGGGAGGAATACTGTTAGGAACCTTACTCGTGCACCTCCCCAAACCCAAAGTATATGCATATGAAACTCTTCGAGCAACGGTGCTGTGGGCCATTTGGAGGCAGAGAAATGATGTGGTCAGAAACGAGGGTTTGCCATCGCTGCAACAACTCCTTTCCTACGTATGCAAGACTCTTCGACATATCATCTGTCTGGACTGGGCAAAAAAGATTAAAACGGCGACTTCTCTTCGAGCTGGGATCAAGCGGTTGAAGGAAAGGTGGGCTGCATGCCCCCTCTCTGCTGACAATGGACTCGTGCACAGGGGACATCTCTTTTGGTCCTTTTCTCCAGCAGCGGCCGTAATCAGAAATTGGCGGCCATATAACTGCTTACATGTTGCTTTTCCTTTTTCTGATGATTTCACCCCTTTCTGATGATTTGGTTTTGAGGGGTTGTTTCCTTTTCTGAAGTTAGTAAAGTGTTGTGAGTTTTAGTAAATTTTCAAGGTTTCTTTGGGAAAAGAAAATAAAAAAATAAAAATGGAAATATCCCTTTTGTTTCTCGCCAGGCTTGTAGCTTTTTTCACACGGGACAGGTTCCGCTTGCTGGATGCACTCGGAGGCCTTGTGGCCACTGAATCTGAAAACTCTATTTCAGCTCGTTTGTTTTGCCTTGGGCACTGGGCCCTGATAATAAAAGGTTGCAAAAAAAAAAAAAAAAAAAAAAAAAAAATTGTTCAGTTTATTTTGTGCATCATATAGTCTTTCTTCAGAGTTTTTGGATTTCTTTTTCTTTTTCTTTTTTTTTCTGGGCCGAGCATAGACCAAGCACGAGCCAACCACAAGGATCGAACACGTGACATCCATATCAGGAGGCAATCACTCAACCAAATGGCTAAGTGGACTGGGGCGAAAGTTAAGCCCGAAGATGAGCACTTAACCCCACCCCAGCACGGGTACTCGTTTTTCCCCGCGACCCGGTGTACCCAGTCACACACATCCAGCACAGGCGTCAACATAGCTACCACGCAGTGTACCGCACTGCAGGATGCCATGCTTTTCATATGCAAACATAGACCAAACACGAGCCGATCACAAGGATCGAACGCGCGACCTCCATATCAGGAGGCAATCACTCAACCAAATGGCTAAGTGGGCTGGGGTGACAGTTTAGCCTCAAGATGTTGCAAGCTGGGCCCTTTGCAGGTCCTCGCACAGCCGGGCTGCCCGGTCAAACAAGGTGGCCCGGGCGGCCCAGCTGGTAGCCAACATATTTTCTCAACAAAAAAAAAAATCAACAAACATCTTTTTCCAAGTCTTCTTCTTTTTTTCCCTGTGCAGCTTTTTTTTTTTCTTTTTTTTTCCCCCTAAGACTGCAGTCTTCTCTTCGCGTTCTTTTTGTTTTTTTGTTTTGCTTTGAAATCAACTCCAGTTGGCGCTGCTAGTGGTGGTGATAAGACTACATACACAAGTCAATCAGGCTGGGGGGTTCTAGTCACTGGATAGGGTCTAGTATCTGCAGTAGGTTCAGGTTGGTTGGATAGGGTGCCATTGGGTGCAGTTCCTACTGACATTCGAATAGAACTGTCTGGTGGCCATATATTGGGACCTGTGGTAGATTGTCTGGGCCTGGTGTCCGAAAGTTCCCGTTCGACAAGGTTCGTCCGATTCCGCTTCCACCAGAGCTGGGCAGCTTATCAGCCCTGGTGCCTATCACTGCTGTTCGGTCCAAGTTGCCTACCCATTGGTAGGGCAACGGTCCTGTCAGTGAGTGCTGGTCACACTGAGGTAAGATAGTGGGATAGGGGGTGCGCTAGGAGTATTGACGTGAGGATGGGATGGGAGGTGGTCTCATATTCCAGGACACCTGTGGCTCACAGCTCCAAAGTGATCACTGTGCACTCAGTGACTGGCCTCTACAACACCCTGGACTTATAAAAAAAAAAGTGGTTGGCCTCTACAACACCCTGGACTTATAAAAAAAAAAGTGGTCGTCATAAGATCTCCCACCAGTAACTGCCCTCCTGCAGGCTCCAGTCTATTAGTGGGGTGCAACACCTGCTGGAAATCGGGTCCAGCGTCCCTCGTAGGCTCATAGGCTCATACTCCTCTCCATGTTGAGGGGGGCAAACAGCCCGGATCATTTTCCGTCACTGTAGGCAAATCAAAGATACATAATAACGAACCATCAAAAATCTGGGCTCCAGTGATTCTTCTCCTGCATGGGATAATGATTAACTGCTGCTGGACTGCACCCTTCCTCATCATACCTTTACCGAGGAGACCACCAAGTAAGACACAAATGGGTAGAATGTGTGTGTGTGTGTGTGTGTGTGTGTGTGTGTGTGTGTGTGTGTGTGTGTGTGTGCGTGCGTGTCTCTGAGAGAGAGAGAGAGAGAGAGAGAGAGAGAGAGAGAGAGAGAGAGAGAGAGAGAGAGAGGGTTTCCTTTTCGAAGAAGTGGATCAAACCACATGTTCACATGGCAGAAAAACAACATTGAGAGAGAGAGAGAGAGAGAGAGAGAGAGAGAGAGAGAGAGAGAGAGAGAGAGAGAGAGAGAGAGAGAGTTTCCTTTTCGGAGAAGTGGATTAAACCACAAGTCCACACGAACCCAAGTAGTTTTCTTACCAGTATACACGGTAAAAAGAAAAAGAAAAAAAAAATAAAGCATTTCGATTCGGGCCTGGGCCGGTAACGAAAGTGGCTGGCCTCTTTGAAAAGACGCAGTTGCAGTCTCACGAGCCTTGCCTTGGAACGTAGCTTCATCAACTTAGAGGCTCATGTGAACTGGAGGTTTAACTACACAGGGGAAACATACCATTTCTCTCTCTCCTCGTTATTGCACCCAATTTTGATTCGTATTTTTTTTTTAGAACGTAAATCAGCCATTTCTTTACCTCGTGTGTTTCGACTCATTTATATTTTTGCAGGTGAGCGGTCTCTGGCACGTCAGGCCAGGTCAGGATGAACAGCAAGCAGACGCTACTTGTCATGGAACATATCTTTTTCCTTTCGCTACCTACCTACCACTACTCCTAAGGGTATACAGGGGACCCCTGCAAGCATAGCTTTCTACCTATCTTCGGTGAAGGGAGGTTACCTCTCTCGGTGGAGGGAGGTAACTGCATGTTTGCCCCTTTGTCCTAGCGTTTAGGGTGCAGGGTTGGCGCCGCCGGTGGGGGCCTGCTAACACAAGGACCGAGCATTTGCCGGTACCTGTGCCTCCCTTTTCGTCTTCCCCCACCCCCATCAACACTCACCCACACACCACACGCAACCCACTCACTCGCGTGCTCACACCCGTGTTGCCTGAAGACGTTACGATATCGACTGCGAGGATCCAGCTGACTATCTCAGATGGTTGGCACCGAGCGTGCCTCAGCCAGCCATTTTTTTTTTTTTTTTTTTTTTTTTTCAATGTAGCTTCTTTTTCTAAAAATATGCGGATCTTTTGTTTGTCTTCTTGTGGACAGCTTTTTTTTTTCTCCTTTTTTTTTTTGACACGTGGTTCTTTTATTTACAAGCCCGGAAATGGGCCTGGCATCCCTCACAACTGTTAAGGAAGGTTACTGTAGTTAGTGTACTATAGTAGGCCCGCTAGAGTAGTTTTACTTCAATGAGGTAGAGGGGGCGTGGGGAGGGTGGGNATCGTGCTGGCAAAAGTGCGAATTTTGTGTTACGAGCTGGGGATAACGATTATTGAATGTAAGGCAGGATAAATAGGGGGCACTGCGAGCTTGGGAAGGGCGGACCACCCGAGGGAACTAAATGCGAGGGAAGGTTTTGGAGGCAATGGAGGGTGATAGTGGAGGGATCAGGGGAAATACCGGGAGTCAGACTAGGAAGACTCTTATTGAAGCTAGGAGGGCATATGTAGGAAGGAGGAGATTATTACTAGTGATGCTTGGTGTTTTTTTGGACTTCGTTTTGATAGAGTAGCTACGACCAAGTTCGGGGGGGGAGAGAGAGAGAGAGAGAGAGAGAGAGAGAGAGAGAGAGAGAGAGAGAGAGAGAGAGAGAGAGAGAGAGAGAAGCGACGCAAAAGCATGGGATTTTGCCTTTCAAAGCATTGGCTTTCTGAATAGAAATCCTCTGCAGTCCAGAATGTACAAAGATACAAATGCTCACCCACAAACACAAACACAAACACAAACTAGGAAGACAAGAGTACAGGGGTAGCAAAGTAGGTGTTCTATTTCCACAGCACAACACAGAAATGATGTGCAAACTACAAAATATGGCGTTGGCCAGGGCATGCACATGTGAACAATGAAGTATTAACTTATTACAGAAGCATCTGTTCAACCTTCATGAAAACAGCAGGCATTTTTTTTTTCCCTCCCCAAAATGAAAACGGAAGAAGAAAAAAAGAAGGAAAAAAAAAGGAAGGAAAAAAAAAAAGAAGGAAAAATTATGTATGCAAAATCTGAAAAAGGCATGGAGATCCTAGTAGAACAAGCCAGGAAAAAATTAAATTAAATTAAATTAAAAAAACAAATAAATAAAAAAAGAACAAGCCAGCCTGATAGGCAAGACCTCAATTCCGGTGGTTCTCTTACCACCGCCGGGATAGTGGGCTTGCAAATGGGCTTGGACAAAAGGGAAAAAAAGAACAAGTCAACGAGATCAGCAAAGATTAAAAAAAAAAAAAAAAAAAAAAAGCAGATCGGCATAGAGAATTCACTTGAAGTTGCAAGAATACCGAAATGGCAAAACTTGTATAATAAATGTTTTTTTTTTTTTTTCTTTTTTTTTTAAGCTGCAAAACTTAAGAAAGATGGGTTTCCCCCCCCGCTAAGTTTGCTAACTAAGGGCAATACTCACACTGGGGCCTTTTGGACGCCGCTCTACCTGCAGTTGCGGTCACTTGCACCCGTGGTGGGCCGTAATCGCGGCCAGGTACATCCGGAAAGCTCTGGTGAAAAAAAAAAAAAGAAGAAAAAAAAAAAAAGGAAAAGTCACAAAAGTGCAAGTACTCCTTAACTCGCTGAAAAAGGTTAGATTGACTCCTCTGCTACCTCAGCAAAACAAAAAAAAACAGAAGTGGATTAAATCCCGCATTACCCTATGCGAATGGGCCTCACTGCACTACTGAACACTTTCCATGTATCTGGATTGAAGTTGAACCAGATGCATTCGGACAGATCAATCATCTCTTGAATGCATCGAGACGATCACCAGCTCCAGATACATTTAGACCCAGTTGTGGAGTGGAACAAGGCCCAATAACATACAAAAATAAACTACAACTGTCAGTCTGTCATCAAGAAATGATGACATCCTAAATCTGACATGTCAGGTCTCCAGAGAGGGCAGCAGCTAAGGCCAAATAACCGCCGCCTCCATGCTGGTACCGTATTACCGCCAAGTGCATCCCGCCGCAAACTACAAAATTTTGATAATCTAATAGCCATAACCTGCACAGAAATTCAAGACGACATAGGCCAAATGTGAGTAAGCATTTTTTTTTATTATTATTATTTTTTTTTTTTTTTACGAATAGCCCTTATGTAAACCCTCTATTCACGACAGTGCTATGGGAATTACAAAATTAATCGAAAGCTGAAAAACTCAAAAAAGCTACATGACTTGTAGTTAAACATGAATTAAAAAAATTAAAGACATGCGATATAAAGCGATTTGTGAACCCAGAGCTCCTCGTCGTATCCAACTACCTTCGTGAGATTTTTCGGTTCATATTTCAATTTTCGGTTTGGGGGTACCATATTTCTCAGATACCCCCAAAAATTAACAAAATTTTCGGTTCATATTGTCAACCTATAGGGGGGGGGGGGCGGTTAGGCAATAGATAGATCGGGATGATCAAATGGTCAGGTGCTGGCAGGCCTATCAAATGCCTAGAAGCCAGCCTCTATGCGTCCCATCCTTGGATTCCTTGCACAGGGGCCATGCTTGCTAATTACCCTTCTCTGTATCGTTCCAATTTTAACGGATGTCCCGAAGGAAATTTCTTCAAGTTTTGAAACATAGGAAAACCTAGGAGGGGGCATCCGACCCAGCCAAGTTCAATGTGCTACCAACCCGCATTTCCCCTTAGGTTACCGAGGAACTGCACGACATGGCACCCTGGCTTTCTGAAACCGATTGGAGGGCATCGTCTCTCTCTCTCTCTCTCTCTCTCTCTCTCTCTCTCTCTCTCTCTCTCTCTCTCTCTCTCTCTCTCCCTCTCTCTCTCTCTCTCTCTCTCTCTCTCTCTCTCTCTCTCTCTCTCTCTCTCTCTCTCTCTCCCTCTCTCTCTCTCTCTCTCTCTCTCTCTCTCCCCACGTAATCGTGGTTGGGCAGGGTGGGGGCTCCAAATTCCTCAATCAACCTTCCGTGACTTGCGCATGAGGCTCCTAACACCTTCCAGGATCTCCCGCCATCAGTCCCCATATGTCCACACCTCCCGCCATTTCCTCCCTCCCTCTCTCCCTCGCAGAAAGAGCAACTGCTGCCTCCTCATGGTTCATTTGGAGGCTCAGGACATACTCACAATAGGACTCTTTTGCTTGTTTCTGGACATGATTGCGGTCAGATGCACCAGTACCTTTGTGTGAGTACACCCTCAGCCTCCAATCTTGGACAAGTAATGTGTGCGTGTGTGTGCAGGGATGTGGGGCAAAACACCCTGCATCAAAATATATTTTTACATTTTATTTCGATGCAGGGTGCTTTGCCCCACATCCCTGCACACACACACACACATACTCACAATATTTATTTTTTCCAGTTTAATCACGCATGGGTCATGCGCCAGGTGTCCGAACCCCCGCGCACCCCATAAGTTCAACCAAAAACGGCAGGAGACCCCCATCTTTGCGTTTAACGTGGATTCAACGGGGGTTTGGGGCATTTAACAAGTTTCAACGGCCATTTAACTAGACCCCCGAACTTGGTCATAGCTCTCTCTCTCTCTCTCTCTCTCTCTCTCTCTCTCTCTCTCTCTCTCTCTCTCTCTCTCTCCCCAAACTTGGTCGTAGCTACTCGATCAAAACGAAGTCCAAAAAAACACCAAGCATCACTAGTACCAATCTCCTCCTTCCTACATATGCCCTCCTAGCTTCAATAAGAGTCTTCCTAGTCTGACTCATGGTATTTCCCCTGATCTTTCCACTATCACCCTCCAAAACCTTCCCTCGCATTTAGTTCCTTTGTGTGGTCCACCCTTCCCAAGCTCGCAGTGCCCCCTATTTATCCTGCCTTACATTCAATAATCGTTATCCCCAACTCGTAACACAAAGTTTGCACTTTTGCCAGCACGAAACTCCCCCCTCCCCACCCTCCCCACCCTCCCCACTGTCCCCCCTCTCCCACCCTCCCCACGCCCCCCCTACCNCTCTCCCACCCTCCCCACGCCCCCCCTACCTCATCAAAGTATAGCTACTCTAGCGGGCCTACTATAGTACACTAACTACAGTAACCCTTCCTTGGCTACCTAATTGCTATCAATTATACATTTTACGGCATGGCTGGCCCATACTGCAGCCGTTCTGTGTGAGGGTCCCGAGTCACCAGCTGCGAGTATGGGCCCCATCTCTCCCAGAATCCAGTCACTTTAGCTTCCCCAATATGGTTGCTCCGGCGGAAGTACGCAATCAGGGCGATCCTGATGTTCTCCATTACCCGCTCCTGATATGCCCGCAGTGGCGGAGTCGCGCCTTGCCTGCATCGCTCGCTCCTGAGTGTCCATACGGCCCACAACACCACTGCTCGCACGACTTCTTCTGCCATCAGGACCTCAAAGCCCGATCTGTTAACCTATATCAAGGTGCCCAGAAGGATCGCAACATCATCCATTTCATCGACATTCAGTGGGGTTTTGTCTCCAACTTCCTCTGCCCACCACATCCACAACATCCGGACCTCCGGGCATCGCACGAAGAGGTGGGGAAGGGTTTCCTCCTGCCCACATTCTTAAAGCGACTTTCAGTAGCTTGCCACTGTGCTGTCGGGATCGCCAGGTGGTAGATTTGGCACAAAAGGCCGACCTGCTTTTGATCTGGCAGGGCTGCCGTGAGTGCGCACTGCTCGTTCCATCTGTGCTGTGTCCATCTATCCGTGTATGCACTGGGGAGCCAATCCCGGTTGGCCCAGCGAGCCTTCAACTCGTTGCAGATATTCTTAGGGTCCAGCAGGGAGTTGTAGATATTCTTCGTACTTCACAAAAAAAAAAAAAAATCCATTTTTTTTTTAACACGAAGCCCCTTCTATTCTGGGGGGCATCAGTCCGATTACTTATCACCCGCACGCATGAATTCAAGTGCACAACGCATCTCCAGAAAAGGGGACAGCCTTACCGTTGCGGTCCTAGACGCCTGTCAAGGGGGGGACTGCCACAGCCGAACCCTCCTTCCATGCCATGGCCTCCCCGGGGATACTTTTGCTGGCCTGGAAGCTTCCTGGCAGCACCCAGTCATGCAGCAGAAGGGTCCTAGGGGAGGCTAGGCCCGGGGGAACCGTCCTAGCAGTCTCTCAGGCCGCTCGTCATCCATCCTCTTGTTAACCACTACAAACCATTACAAAACTATTTCTTCTACATCCAACTTACTGTTGTACCCTTATTGCCCATGTAGTTCTTGCTCCCCTCTCCCTCCCTTTTCCTTCATGATCTTCCCACCCCTCTTTTTGTTTATTTTTGAAAAAGATAAAACTCCCCACCCCTAAAGTTATCAAAGACCCAGCCGCATTGTCCGAGCAGACTTGACTCAATGATACATGGCTGTATTCTACGAATCTGATTTGGGGCGCTTGTACATTCCCCTTTCAATATCCCGCTCCACCACTGCCCAAACGTAAAGAAAAAATGACAAGTGCATCTTTCCGTTTTACCCTTGCCGATCCGGACGCTTGCCAAGTTACCCTTGCCGATCTCCACACTTGCCAGGTGGCTGAGTGAGGACCATACTGTTTTCCCCCAAACACAAGGCACCCTCGTCATGATTATATGCATGCGACCAGAAAGTTGGCCTGTATTCATTCATGAAGAGGGTGCACCTGGTGAGAAGGCAGTAGTCAGGAGCCATAGCCGAAGCAAGAGGGGAGCGATGGCCACAAGATGCTCAATCACCAGATCGGAAACGTCATTAGAAACCTAGAAATGTCATTATAAATTCGGAAATGCATGCAACCAAGGTTCAAAGTGTGCGAGACAGCAAGAAAGAAAGGTAAATAAAAACACAAATTGTGAAAGGCGGCTTACCTGAGGGATCCATAGAGTTCGGCATGGCGGCAGCAGGTGCCTCAGGCTCCTTAATTTCTACGACGACGCAGTCTGACATCAGGAAGGTCTTCGCCACAGAAGCTGCGTGCTCTAGACAGCACCGAACAACCTGCATAACCCCGCCCAAACCAGAACACACAATTTAAAGTCATCTCAAGAGGCTTTCTACTTTTCTTCATTGGGAGAGGAAATTGGCGTGGTGAGTCGGGGAGAGGGTGTTTCTGTGTGTATATTTTGTGTGAGGGTGTGTTTTGTGTGTGTGTGTGTGTGTGTGTGTGTGTGTGTGTGTGTGTGTGTGTGTGTGTGTGTGTG